ATTCTTCTGTCCTATGGAAGATGGACAGGTGTAAATTATTTTTAGAAGTGGCTACTGGAGTAAAGAAGAGGAAAGTGGGTTTATATATTCCTGCCTCTCACATTACCTCATACAATGGTGTGTTCTGTTATCAAATTGAGCTATCTTCAGTAACCACTTCTTCATCTTGGCTCATGTAGCAATCTCAAATAGCCTCAGGGCAGATTTGCCTCAGCTTGATGCTACTGGATAAAAACACTAGCAACATGCACATATTTCTTGGAATGTCCATGTGGTAGTCACAAAGATGGGTATAAGAAGGGCAGTGTTATATACTGTGATATTAAAGTTCTTGCATTGGATGAACTCACTTTTAGTGCTACCATTTCAAAGGGAAATCAAGGGATCCTGGACAATGTGTGAGAGCGTTACAATGAGGAGAGTGCAGTTTAGAGCTCTTTGCAGAAAGCTGACTTGAGAAGGGCAGAGCTTAGAGGCAATAAAGAAGACAATAGAGGTAGAATGACAAGCAGATCCATAGAGCCCAATTTTACAGCAAGCATTGCTATCCATCACAGATTTTTCAAGATCCTAGAGTCCTATTATGTCAATAATCCCATCAAATATCCCACTGATGTCAATGGGAGTTGCCTGTGTGCAGCAACTGCGTAATCAAGGCCCCTGGAGTGTTTTTAACCAGCAGCAATTTGCAGAGACAAATCTGAGTTGAGAATATGAGAGCAAGAATGGGGAAGCTGCTCCCAAAAGATAATCTATTAACAGATAAAGGTGATTAGTCAGCCATATTATCCTGGTAGTCTACGCTGGCAAGGCTAAAGCGCTGCCGCAGCCGTGCTTTAACGTGCCTTGTGTGGTCGAAGCGCAGCGCTGGGAGAGAGGTCTCCAAGCGCTCTAAAAAACCCACCTCAACAAGGGGCGTAGCTCCCAGTGCTGGGAGAGTGCTCCCAGCACTGGGGCACTGTTTATGCTCGCGCTTTACAGGGCTGCAACTTGCTGCACGCAGGGGGGTGTTTTTTCACACCCCCGAGTGAGAAAGTTGCAGTGCTGTTAATTGCCAGTGTAGACAAGCAGTTAGGAGGGAGCCAGCATCACATGCCTCTCTTTAAAAGCTAGTAACTGAACTGATAGTAACTGAACTTCAGTTAAATGAGATAATGAGATCAGGGAACACGATCCTTTTGTTACACCGACTAGCTGACATGCTGCACAAGATTAAGCAAAACATCAAATCACTAGGAACTGCAATGGAAACAAAGCTGAGAGATCAGAACAGAGAATGTTAGATTCTCCTGGAACAGGCAGTTTCTGGAAGTTCAGCAACAAGACAGAGAATGGAAGATCATTTCTGCACCCAGTTACACAGTATAAATCTGGAGTAAGTCCTTTCACTTCAGTGACACTACTTGGTTTTCACTAGCATAACTAGCACCAGAATTTGCCCCTATGAGTGAAGGTTTCTTGACAGTGCAGGAGCCAGTGATGGGTCTTACAAACCCCACACTGGAGAGCAAGGGGTTCAGCCCTGCCCAGCTGTACCTGCAAAGCCTGCACGAGCTGTAGGCAGAGCCGCTCAGAGGGGGGGAGGGGATGGGAACTACTGCCCAGGAATTCTTGTTGCCTGAAAACTGACCTAATAAAACCTACAGAGGAGAGAGACAGGTGACTGACTGTGAAGGTCAGAGACTTTGTTTGTGGTTCTGTAATTTTCTCTGAGCGGAAAAGGGAGACTTGGATAGGAAGTGATCCATGGGGCAATTGCGTGGCACTGCAAGATGTAGAACATACCTGCCCATCATCAGGCTGTGGATTGGCGCCTGTGGGCCCAGGCTCCCCTTCCGACTTCCGAAAGATGACACAAGAAGAAAGCCTTTACCTTGGTGGAGAGACCCGCTGGGGAAGACCTTGGCCCCAAAATCCCCATACTAACATAAAAACCCTGAAGCCCTAGGGGGAGCTGAAGGCCAGGACTATAACTGAAAAGGGGTGACAACCTGCTGCACCCCTGCCTGACCACTAGGCAGCACTGGTTGTGAGTGTTCCCCTTTTACAGAGCCCAAACCAAGAAGGCAGAAAGAGAATCCTGTAACAAACCAGATGTTCAAATGAATCTTGAGAACCTGTAGAGTCTGTAGAGAGCTAAGAGTTTTTCAAAGTTAAGGGGGGGGGAAAGCCACAGCACTGCCTCCTCTTTTATCAGCAACACAAAGAACATAAAGACTCTAGGCCTGGGTCTCATCTCACAAAAGTGAGATACTGTTTCCCCTTTTGAAAGTAATACAGACAAGATGAGGCACAGAGTGAAACCTCATCCAGTTTCCCTGTTGTTTTAAGAAGGATAATTGTTTGCCACCACTATTCCTTTTTCCTTTCCTGTCCTTTTCTTTTTTTTACTTAAATGTTCTTGCTTTGGTTGCTATAAAATGGCACTTTCATTTTGGTGCTGATGTTTTGTTTTTTCCGCCCTTTTCATACATTAACCGAGCAATTGGGAAAGAGTGTTGCCTGATGATTACAAGAAGAGATCAGATATCAGGACTCCTCGGTTCTGTTCCTAGCTCTGCTACTGACTCATTTTGTGATGAAATCACACAGGCACACTCAATTTACCGAATTATAAAATAGGCCATTTATTTCCATTACCATGCTCCAACCTGGAAAACCTGAGGATGTCTTTCAACAGCTGAGAATTTCAGTCCTTCCTCTACAACAGTGGTCGGCAACCTGCCACACGTGGCCCATCAAGGTAATCTGCTGGCAGGCCGCCAGACCGTTTGTTTACATTTGCACAGCCGCCCGCAGCTCCCAGTGGCCACAGTTCACTGTTCCCAGCCAATGGGAGCTGCGGGAAGCAGCAGCCAGCCCCACGCCACTGGAAGCTGTGGGCGGCTGCAAAAATGTAAACAAACGGTCTAGCGGATTACCCTGATGGGCCGTGTGTGGCCCGAGGGCTGCAGGTTGCCCACCACTGATCTACAAGCACCTTTCTTTACAGCTGCCTGATCATTATGGTAATTCTGATCCACAGTAGGGTCATCCTTTTCATAGGAACCTTTCCCAGCATATTTTTCTGATCGCTAGTCTCCTAAATTTGGCAGATACAAGTATCTGATGTTTTAAATTTGCCATTTGGCAGCTGGCTGATACTTAATGCCTCTCCTCCGTATAGGAAATATTCCTATTTTATTTTCCTTAGTTTCTTGCCACTGAGGAAATGACACACTCCCACAGACACTATATTAGCACCAGGTCCCATCCACAGTACAAGACATCGCCATGTTGTATGTTTTCTCTCTATGTTCATTATAAAAGGAGGCAAATTATAAATTTGCAACAGAACTCTCTTTTGTGAGGTGAACAAGAAATCCTTTATCTGCAGATCTCAGCGCATGCACACTGATTTGAAGCCAATATAAACAAAAGGTGCCTGAACAAAATTTGATACATCACTAATAGCAGATACTCGTGTCCAAACACTACAGGTTCCATGGACATACATAGCAAAATTGCCATGGATTTTAATAGGAGAAGCATCATCTCATTAAGGCAATTTTCAGAAGTGGAAGATTTAACTACTCTGATTATTATTAGAATTCCAAGATTGTTTCTTTGTATGTCACAACAGCACTCTTCTTCAGCACATGTATAGAGAAGAGAGAGGCCAGAACAAAAACCCTGCCTTTAAATCCCACCCAGTCTTTGGGGAGTGTTTGAAACCTGCTCTCAGATCTAAATCTGGCTTTTGTAAAAGGCCTCCATGAAATGCAACAAACCAAAGCCCTACATACAAACTCCCAGAATTCTTGGGTGTACAAAACCCAGTTCTCAATGTGAATTTTGCACCTTGAACCTGTTTTATCCCACTGAGAGCAGTTACAATCCCATGATATAAAAAACTGCCATTTTAACCATTAATATGGCTTGTTGCTACTTTCACAGAAACAAATAGTCACTTTATCTATCCATTTTTCAAAACATTTTCAAATGCAGCTTTTGGAAAATTCATAAAAATGTGAAACTACTAAATGGAAGTCAAGATGTTTTAAAATATCTCTCCTCCTTGGGAAAAATAATTTATTGCGTAATGTAGAGTGAAACAAGAGAGTTGAAGAAATTGTTAGGAATACCACACTGTTCAACTCTGAACTACAGAGGGAGATATGGTAATCCATTGTTTGTCTGCATGCTGAACATCTGTTCTCAACTAACGATATACAAACAAATATTTACCATCCCTTAGGAATACTTTCCATAGTTTTATTGTCAACATGCCATATTATGAAGAAATGGGAAAGCCACACATTCCAAAGGAAAGTCTGTAACTTTCATAATGCAAACATTCAGAGCTGCATTTTAGTGTTGACAGACTTTATGCAACCCCCACTGAAGTCAGGGGGACTTGGATGGATCCCAATCTGCACAGGAAATGCAAACTGAAATCACAGAAGTGCTGTATATGACTCCAGGGTAATTCATGCACCTCCTGCTATAGTATTGTTGACATTTGCAATCTGCATTTTACAGGATCTAATTCTGATTTCACTTATACCACTTTTACTGTGTTGCTCTGGATTTACACTTGTGTAAGTGGGAAGAAAATGCTATCTTCATAATTTCCATATATACATCCCCTGTTGCCTAAACCTCACCATCATTTTATTTCATAATTCTAGTTTATTCTCACAGATTCAAGTACACATTTCTGTTAAATACAGTAATCCCTGGATCCTGTTGTGCCCTTAGTTTCCAGACTCCAGATACATTTCATAATTAGAGCTCTGAGTACAGACTACTTATTGATATGCTACATGAACAAAGTGTAGACATTTGCAGATCGTTAGACGATGACAGCATAAACTCTGTTACTGATTCTAAAAGAGGAACAACAGTTACAAATAATTTAAAACTTCTAAAATGAGGCCCTCATGAGTTAACTCAAATTTCTAAGGAAAGCTTTAAATGTCTGGAATAACTAATTATTCCGCAATTGTCCTTCCTTATAGAATACCATTTCTAAAGCTGCAGTTAAAGAGCTGACTTCATTGTATGGCACAAAATATACCTTTGGTGCATCTGCTTCAACAATCTGTAAGTATTAACCTAAATATCATAAGTAACTGTAGTAAGAATTATTTATCTAGACAGTGGGAGGAAATTATGTATTATGACCCAAAAAAACCCCATAAGATGAGCCCTGCCCATACACACCCTACTTACTTCCCTCCTAATGGGTGTAGACTGTGATATCTTTACTCTTGTTGCATGGTACTTTTCTTCGCAAGTAGTCCCATTAACCTCACTGTCCTGAAGGTGTGGATGCAACACATCTGGTTCTGCAAACGTGCAAACATGCACCTGGGGGTACGAATGAGATTCACACAATAACTATGTAGCGCCCAAATACTACGGTGATGGGCACACTAGGAGTTCCTAAAACAAACAGCTAAAATTAGATTAAAACATGAGACAACTGGGCTCGTTCAGCCTGTGAGTTTCTTGATGTCCAGGGCCTACAAGGGGCGACAATAGTATGTGAAACCTTTTTGACCAGAATTTGCCTTCATGGCTCTAGCCAGCAGACTGTTACTTTCTGTTACTGTATGGTGATTTTAAAAATATATAAATTCCAGCCTCACTCTAACACTCTCCTGAAACCCAGCTGTTGTGTTATGTCCTTTGCGACATTATAAAGCTGACCTCGTGTCTCCAAACCCAGTTTTCCAGAGTTTTATAGCTCAGCTGTTTTGGCTCCTAATTCCTCAGGCTATCGCCTGCTTGAAATTCAGCATTGTAGGACTGAACAATCTGGAAGCCAATTTTTTTTTGTCTTAAATATAATGGCTGCAATTGTTTGTCAATGTTTAAAAGAACTATTGAGAAAAATGCTTTTGGGGATTCCTAGCAATTTTGAGGACCACCTATAGGATAAAAAATATTAGTACCCCATTCTCTCCTTACAAGGAACAACCCAGAGAGTATGCTCAGAATTCTCTCGTTGAGAGGAAAAGGAGCAAAGCTTATTTCAACAACAAAAAAGCAGAGTTCATATCCCCAGCTTTGTGGATCTCCAAAGATCTGTGTAGATCTCAGGGAGATACTCCAGAGACAGGAGATTCAATGTGATAGATCCTTGCTCCTGCAGATACCATGCTTCCAGTCCTCTCCTCAGGCAAAAGATACCCCTCCCACCCCTTCTCAGGAGGGATCTCTACAGTGAGCGGGGAGCAGCACTGCAAAATAACTCAGAGTCTGTATTCTGATCAGTATTGTTTCTTCTATATTTTTAGAAGGGGGACATGGTTATATTCTTCTTTTTACAGCTACAGGTTTCCATTTTCAAGGCTATTAAAGTGCTGGGCAAGCTCTATTCCATATTCTGGATGCAAACAAATGGTTCATTGACTCTCACTGCTTTTTCCTCTGCCCTTCCTATATTTTTAGCTAAGTAGTATGGTAGTTATAGTTATAATAAATCCCACTGATTACCAGTGACTTGTCCCTTTCTAGTAAAGTTTTCTTCTCTCCCAATGCAGATCCTGCTGCTGGTGGCTCTGATGACTGGGCTTATAATGAGGGTATCAAGTACTCCTTCACCTTTGAGCTCCGTGATAAGGGTAGATATGGATTTGCACTCCCTGAATCTCAGATAAAGCCAACCTGTGAAGAGACTCTAAAAGCTGTTAAATATATTGCCAATTACGTCCTTGACCATTTATATTAGAATGGTACTGCAAAATTATTCAAGAAAGCTTGTTTCAAATATACTATCCCCTTTGTTCTCTTTCCCTGATGGCTGATGATTTCTGCTTTACAGAATGCTGTTAGTTCTCCTTTACACTTGAGCTCTAGAGCCAATGAAAATATCTCGGGATTTTTCTATTAATCACAAATAAAAATGACAATGACTCACCTACTGTTTGAATATTGATAGAACATCTGTTACTCCAGTGACTGGATTGAATGGATGAAGAAGCCACCAGTGTCTATTTTGACTGTTCAGCCAGTTAACACGTTTTTTAAAGGCCCTTTAATGATCACTAAACCAAATTCAATCATGGGGCATTGACTTCAGTGGAGCTGCATGATAGATCTAGGGGCAGAAGCTGGACCTCTCTTACTAGGCTAATATTAATCAGAAGCTTTAATAGCAGCTAGCTCCTAGGTGAAACAAGAGTGAGGGCAAATGGGAGCCCAACAATAATGGAGTTGGGGGAAAACCTAATAATAACTATATCTAATCCATCCCTATATCAGAGGCAGACAGAGATCAAAAATCAGACAATGAGGATGGAGGTAGGGGTCCTGTCCTGAAAACTAAATTTAACAGGTTAGCATTTGAACTGAAAATTAAATAAAGTAAAGAAAATATGAAAAATAATAACATAGGAATGAACTGATAAACTTCACCAGTCATTACAAATTCTACACACACTTATATAGAAAATGGCTACATTGATTACTCAGGCTTTGTTCCAACAGTTTTAAATTAGTTAAAGCAATATGGGCAGTAGTTAAGAAGTCAGTCTGATAAGTAACTGATTTCATATGTTGTATATGATCCATCAGGTAGGTATGCTCATGTCTTTATATTTCTACATGTATAGAATGTAATCCTTGAATCAAATAATCAAAACCACAAACATAAATCCTGAGCTGCTAGCTTCATTTTGTGACTGAGAACCAAATGCACAGACATGCAGGAACACCTGCACTCCCAGCAAAACTTTAATAGCTAAACAACAGAAATGAACAAAACCAAACAAAATGCCACGGGAGCAAATTCTGTATGGATTCTCTCTGCATGCAAGACAGATGTCTGGTGGAACTTGAGGAACTACTTAACTACTACGTATGGATTGGTATACTGAGAAAGGCAATTAAGCCTCTTTCTGAGCCATGACCTTTAAGTCCCAGAAGCTTTCCATCTGAATAGATGTGCTGTTTTCCCAACTAGTATAGGCTAGAGTCATTAGTGTTATTAGCATCTCAGTTATTTGAAGAGTAGGAAGGTTCAAATAATAATAAAACCATCTCCAATGAAGCTCTAAGAGAAAGTCAGTTGCTTGCTGAGCAATAAGAAGGGGGAATATAAAATGTGACAGACAGTATTTGCTATGCAGAGAACAAGCAGAAACATGAAGTTTATGTTGCTTTTAGCCTTGATTGCAGCAACTCATGTTGTTCCTCACATTCATCGCTTTGACAGGTAGAAAGCTCTCTGAGGATCATTGGCAGAAATTGTATCAATGATCACATTAGTTTGATATTATGTACACTTTGTAGCACAGAAGAGCTGTACCAGACAAATTAGAGGACCCCTACTTCAAATGGACTAATAGGCAAAGAAAGGGGCTGGAACCGAACAGGACTGTACAATGTAAAGTTATGATTGTGACTGGTTACTGATGTCTTTTGAAGTGAGAAAATGTTTCATGGGAATCCTCAGAATGACAAACAAGTGAACTTCATGAAGGACTTGGCCAGCATCATACAGCTGAGACATTTTTACACAGAGTGCCATATATTTAACTCTTCACTTTAATTTTTTTTTAGCTTCTTGCAATAGTCTCAAATATCAGATATGCAGGTGTAACTCACCATATACTGTACATACATCATTATAATATGGGGCCAAATTCAGAAGTGGTACCTAAAGTAGCATTGCTAGATTCTCTCTTACACCTACACTGCAGTACAAAGGAGTATAAGCAGCAGGTGGAAGAAGTATAAGAAAGTGTGTGTTAAAGAATCCTCATCCACACCTTAATATACACTTTCTCCCAGCTCCTGGGCATTTAAGTTATGTTAATTTAGACTCCTTTATGCATTGGTAGAGCAGATGTAAGTAGTCTAAGGGAATCTATGGGTTATGCTACATTAGATATCATCTAACAGTTTTGCCCACAAAATCTGCTAATGCTCACGTATACATCCAGTAGCTGATTATTTTTATAAAATATAGAGTAACACACACCTGTTATCTTGGGATTACAATGGAGCCTTGTGTACCATGGTGCAGTCTCTGTATAACAAAGGATTTACAACAACCCGTAACAATAAAGGATCTCACTGGCAGAGCAAGTATAGGATACGTTGGAAATGAAGGGATTGATCTGCTGTAATTTTTAGTATGGTTGAATATGTGGTCTATTTTTTCTGGTTTCCTGAGCTGACAAGCTACATTTAGTATCTATGTATCATAAACGTTTAGTTTTTATTACTATTTGGTGGTGTCAATATTATTTTGAGCCATTGTCATATCTGACATCTTACTGGTGTTGTAAGATGAACACAAACATTTTCCTGCTCATTCTCCAGATTAGCAATATATGCGGAAAAGCCTGAAAAAGGCATATTAAGTTTTAGCACTGTAAAATCTATGTTAGCATCTCATAAATAATTTGTACTAATTTCCATAATACTGCACTATAGTGAGAGGAGCTTCTCAGCAGTACATTGGACATTCTCCAGAATAGATTATTTCATGACTTCCCCAAAATGTAATAATCCTTGGCTCATGTTCTGATCCATCTAGATATTGAATGGAATGAGAGCCACAAACCATCTTCCTGAGAAAGATTTAACACACCCTTAACTCAAGAGAAGCATTTCAAACAATGTATTAATAAAGGAATTGAATTCTATATAGCTATAAACACAATTTATGATAGCTTTGTGGTGAGAGAAACTAAGAGAGGAAGGATAGTTCAGTGATTAGGGCATTAGCTAGAGACTTGGGAGACCCAAGTTCAATTCTGTGCTCTACTTTCCTGTGTCACCTTTGGAAAGTCACCCAGAGTCTTAGTTTGCCTCAGTTTCCATTGGTAAAATTGAGATAATAGTTACTCCATACCCCACAGTGGTGTTCTGAGGATAAATACATTAAAGATTGTCAGGTATTCCAGTAACTGGGGTGATATAGATATGTAACCCCAGTTTAGAGACAGAAAAAAGTATGTTTGTCACTGAAAAAAAAGAAAAACAAGACAAAAATTTGTTGAATTATCAGAGAAGCTGATAAAGATTGTATCAGCCTAGGGTAATGTGAAAAGTACCACAGTACAAATCAGGGGAAGTCCAAGACTTCTAAACTAATGACGGCACTTCTTTAAAACTAAAAAATAATTATGAGCACATTTAGTGTTTGTGGAAGTGGCCAGATCAACAGCCCTAGAGACAAGAGTCCTGTTTTTATCCCTACAACAGGTACAGCAGTGACAATGCCTTGCCAATGTGCCTCTGTCCAGTTCTAGAAAAGCCTCATCAAAAGGTACTGAGAAGGTATTTTCAATCCTCTCTCTCTCTCTTCTGAGGCTGCCAACAAGGGGGCCAATTAATGCCTGATTTCTGTGATGGGGGTACTTGTCCACCAGAAATTGAACTGAAGTGATTAAATTTATTTCCCACAAGCAAGCAGAACAACCAGATATAACAATTTTGGTCACTACTCACATGGACTTAACTTGAAAGACCAGATATGCCAAATTCACCCACAGTCTACATGTGAAAGACTCTACGAGCCAAATTCACCCATGGTATAAGTGGGCAGAACTCCATTAACATCAAGGGAATTGCATCCACTCACATCAGAGATGAATTTGTCCCCATGAGCCAAATATAGACCCTAAAGGATACACAGCATTTGCCGATCTGAGTGTACTAACAATATTGTATTTAAATAAATGCTTTCCTAAGGCTTCTGAAGAATGAGAAAATAAATGAGGTTTTCTGAAAGTAGGATTGTAAATACCTTTATAAATGTGTGTTCACAATTCAAAAAATAAAATCAGGCATTGTCTAGAGTTGTGGCAACACTGTCCCAACAGTTTTCCATTACAACTGTACATACTCACCCGGCCAATTGCACTATGTAAGCACTAAAATGAGATACTCCTCATTTCTGTGTGCAGCTCGATTTCCATCATCTGGATTCAGCTTATGATGAAGTTGCTAATGTGGAAGTGGATTTCCGGCTCAATCCAGATATGTCCAGACTCTCCTGGAGCAGAATGAAATACCAGTAGTTCATGTGTATTGAAGAGTAAGGGGAGACCATGTGCTTTGTGGTCTCTTCCAACAGAAATCTCTTAGCTAGTAATCAATTAGGTTAGTGTGTTGGTAACTGTCTACAGATTTTTAGTTGAGCAGTTTCTAATACTGAGACCAGAAAATAGACAGTATGACAGTAGGAGGATGGACCACTTGGATGAGATATTACAATACTATCAGGAGGCACCCTGTGGTGCTTGCACGATGTAGGTGGTCAGGTGTGGCTCCGTCACTAGAAGGAGTAAATAACAAAGCTCTGAGGAAAAGGAGCTTCATTTTGCAAGGGTCTGTGTGAATAGTCACTTAGGTTTTGCTCTAAGTGATCACTGAGTTCCAGGCTGGAACAAAACCCAAATCTTCAAACAAAGCTTAGTAGAAACCATCAAATTTCACCTAGTTTTGTGTTGAAACTAGGATGACATTATTCAAAGTGTTCCAGTAGGTGGATGAAAAGGGATGGTAGAGACCAGCAGGGGGTTTGGGAGGAGGGGAGGCAGGGATGCATAAAAATGTCTAAACTTCAAATTGGCCATCACTTCCTCCTCCCTGCCCATCTCCTGTTATCTGCTTCCTCTTATTTGCAGCTTCAAATCATTTCAGCCTTTTAACTATCTATTTTTCTCCTTTTAGCCTCTCAACTTATCTCATCCCCCTACCTCTTTCCCTCCCCTTCCTCTAAATATCTCTATTTCCGTCACTCTTCCCCCTGGTTCCCTTAATTCTCCTTTCACATATCTCTCTTCTCAGAATTCTCAAAATCCCCAACTTCCCAATTTTCTTTCCTTTATTCTGTTCCCCCTTGTCTCTTTTCCATTCTTATTTTTCTCTTCCCACCCCTTCTCCTTTCCCTTTATCCTTTTGATATCTGCTCTCCCACCAATATACACCTGCCCATACTCCTCACATAATAAATTA